CTTTTCCAGTTACTGGAGTGTGAAAGCAGAATGCTGTAGTCAATGTTCTCAAATTCCTCCCCTGAATCCACTCATCATTCTCATGAATAATTCATATTTACATATAGTATGATTCAAACACTGTAGTAATAAAAAGGAGTGAGTCCAGCGTGTTTTAATACACACAACGGTACTTTTTTTTTTTTTTTTGGTAAGCGAGAATGCATTGACATTTGCATTGGCTGAAACATTTGATGGGAGAAAATGACATAAACTTAGAATTTTAAGGCAAATGGCATAGAAGGCGGCCATAAATATAAAGAGCTATATAATTAATTCCAGTGAGGGAGTAGCTTGTGTTGTGATTAGTAACTAGAGTAGCATGATCTGTCAGCCCTGTAAACCTGTGGTGGTCAAGGGTGGGAAATAGTGGTTGGTCTTGCGCCTCTTTCCCCTTTATACAGGAGTAGTACTTGTGTTGGGAAATGCAGCAAGGGGTACAGTCATGGGGGGATTATTTTCAAGGAGTCTGGTTAAAAAATATATAAACCCAACATTTCATATTCCTGCTGTACCATATACTTGTATGAAAAAGTATCCTTTTTGTATTGCTTCCTTTGTGTGAAATCCCTGGTGTTCCTACCAGTCCCTCTGCTTTCCTATTAAAAACTGACCACACTAGGCATGAAAGCAAAGCATGGTCAGTTCTTTAGCTGTGCTGGGAACTCAGCCTGCTGTCCTCCAATGATCAAACTTGTCCTGACACATCCCCTTAACAGCCATTCACTGGTTAGATCAATGCGCAGCTGTTTTCTTCTCCCTCACCTCTTTATGCAGCTGAGATCAGAGGAAATGTGATCACTTATAATAAAGGGGGAAAAGGTATTTATTATGGGGTTTTCTCTTTATGTGTATACACAAATGTTTTGCCTTTCATTTCTGTTTTAAACGGAATGGGTTGTTTTGCAAAGTGAGGATTTACGTACACTTTAAATACCACAGGGTATATCAGAAATATTACACTTTTGATTATCTATAGACAATGTGTGTGTGAATGATTCCCAGACAGGGAGAGTAGGGATATAGAAGAGTGGTAAAACCTGAGTATTGTTTCTCAATGCATTGTGGCCTTGACTGACCTTCCATGGCAAACAGAATTCAGAAGAGGGTGTCTATAGAAATATCAGGGAAAGAGTGAGCCCGGTCTCAGTCCAGGAATAATCCAGGGGTTCCTCCAAAAGGCATGTAAATTTGAAATTTCTCATTAATGAAGGTTGGGATGTTGCAAAAGGGCATCCAATGGGCAGGGCCAGTGCTAAACAATTTTCCGCCCCAGCAACTTGCACCCCCTCCCCCAAAAAAAAGCTTCACCTGTAGTTCTGCTTCACCCATTCTAGGGCACAAATTCTCCCCAATCCCCTCTCCTAGCACAAATTTCCCCAATGTCCTCTCCTAGCACAGATTTCCCCCTCCTACCACAAATCTCTCCCGCTCCCCCGATCCTAGCATGAATCCCCACCCATTCCTCCCTCCTAGCACAAATAGCACAAATCCCCCCTTTCCTCCCTCCTGGTACAAATCCCACCTCACAGCACAAATCTTCTTCCTTCAATCCCCCCACCTAGGACAAATTCTCCCCACTCTCCTCTCCTAGCACAAATTCCCTCCTCAAATCCCCAGTCCTAGCACAACCAACCCCAATCCCCCCTCCTAGCACAAATCCTCCCCCCATCCCTCCCTCTTAGTACAAATCCCCCCCCCATTCCCCCTCTTAGTACAAATTCCCCGCCCAATCTGAACACAAATCCCACTTTCAATACCAATCTTCTTGCTTCAATCCCCCCACCTAAGACAGATTCCCCCGAATCCCTCCTTTAGCTAAAATCCCTCCCAGCATAAAATCCTCCCACCGTACCCAAATCCCACCCTTTTTAGCACAAATACCACCTGCCCCCCCCCCCCCCTCAAATCTCCCTCCTACTCCTAGCCCATACCCCTATTCCTTCTCCTAGCAAAAATTCCCCCCATCATCCCCATTACCCGTCCCAGCACAAATAGCCCCCATCCCTCCTGCACAAACCACTCGTCTCAGCACAAATGATTGTTAACCCTCCCATTGTGTACAGTTCGCCTGGCCTGTAAGCGCCACCCCAGCACCCCCCTAGATCGAGCCGTGACAGAGAGTAGGGAAACCAGCAGCCGTGGTTGCACCCTAAGTGTCTGCCTAGTTTGCCTAGTGGTGGCACTGGCCCTACCAACAGGTTCGACCAGCCCTGTGAGACAGTTTTTTGATTTTTGCAGTAATGTACAGTTTTACTTTAAAAAAAATAAAAAAAAACGAAAGGGTTATGTGATCAGGGAAACTTTTCTGTGGCAGCTACAGATGAGAGAGGTTGCTTAGTGGTCATATTTACAAAGTTTTTAATGTGTTTGATGCCTGTGTTGTGTAATGACTTCAGAGTAGACATTACTAGGGAAGTCAAAGTGGGAGAAAAAAGATGTATGAATATTCAATTGGGCAGCACAGTGGCTTAATGGTTAGCACTTTTGCCTTCCGCCACAGTACTAGGGTTTATGGTGTGGGGTTGTTTTTCAGGGGTTGGGCTTGGCCCCTTAGTTCCAGTGAAGGGAACTCTTAAGGCATCAGCATACCAAGATATTTAGGACAATTTCATGCTCCCAACATTGTGGGAACAGTGCACAAAGCAAAGTCCATAAAGACATGGATGAGCGAGTTTGGGGTGGAGGAACTTGACTGGCCTGCACAGAGTCCTGACCTCAACTTGATAGAACACCTTTGGGATGAATTAGAATGGAGACTGCTAGCCAGGCCTACTCGTCCGACATCAGTGCCTGACCTCACATATGCGCTTCTAGAAGAATGGTCAAACATTCCCATAGACACTCTCCTAAACCTTGTGGACAGCCTTCCCAGAAGAGTTGAAGCTGTTATAGCCGCAAAGGGTGGGCCAACTCAATTTTGAACCCTATAGGCTAAGACTGGGATGCCATTTAAATTCATGTGCGTGTAAAGGCAGGTGTCCCAATACTTTTGGAAATATTCTGTATATAGAGCTGGTATCTGCCAACATTCACATAGCTCTCAACATGATTTTATCAACCTCCAGGTCTGTTTTATTGAAATTAAATTTGTTTGTAATAAAGATTGACACTTGTCTTTTAGACAGTTTTCCATTATTCTGCCTAAAAAGTCCCAGGGGGATATACAGTGGATATAGAAAGTCTACACACCCCCTGTTAAAATGATAGGTTTCTTCACAAAAGCACTCCCGTGTTTAGCTTTTCTGAATACAGAATAAGTATATACCACTTTTAGGCCCCTAGCACACAAGGCACCTGCATCCTGTGCATCCAAAGCCAGGTATTCTTTTCCAGGCAAACATCCCTCAGTGGGCCCTAAATAGGGCCCTCAATGCAACTGCTTGATACATAGATTTTAACAGGCTGCTGGCATCAGGGATGGACACTGCACCTGTGCCTTCTGTGTGCACTAAAACGCCAGGATTGGGTGCACAGGGGCTGGACATCTGCGTCTCCAAGGGGCCTTATACCTCCTTGCACACTTTTTCCTGTGTTTAGATGATACAGCTAAATTATTTTCCTTAAATGCAGCTAAACTAAATGTACAGTGTTGTTGGCACCCTTGAAAAATCATTACATGCATTTTCAGTATATGAGCTTAGAAATGTCCTCTAAATACATATAAACACAGGTTTGACAGCGACAATATGAATGAAGCCTAACAATTTAGAGATTCAGTTGGATAGTTTTCTTGGTCCCATGCAGCTGGCAATGCCCAATACAAAGCCAGATGTTTGTATTGTGTAATATCTGCATAATATGGAACAAACAAAAGGCTACAAACAGCTGAGGGAAGAATGATACCCGTGTTATGGTTTTGTAGATATTATAAACTACTCCAAACATTGTAAGCGCCCCTTGTCAGTGGTAAATGGTTTGACTGACGCAACCTGGACAGGGGATTTTGGAGGAGACTGCAGGCTAGCCTCTTGCCTACTTACCATGGTCCTGCCATCTGAGTGGGTTCTAATCTTTGGGAGGCGTGTGCCTCGTGGACCTTTTGGAGTAGGTTTTACTTGAATCAAGTCGATGTCTCCCCGAAACACACAGACTCTGAGAACTGGAGGACTAGGATACAGATTTGGGGCCTCTGTGCCCAAACCAGCATTGACTGCTTCAACCCCCCCCCCCTCCCCTCCTAGACTAAGAGATGGTTTAGCTCAACCCTCTAAAAGCGACTTTTGCTGGACAGTTTGGTCTGTTAATGGAAGTTGAAAAATAACAGTCGTGAGCCAACCATAGGTGGACTGATTGTTGGACAGTTCAGCAGGGATTGGCTAAGATTTGATCCATCTATAGAAAGACTGATTGTACCCAAGTCAATCCATCGATCAACTTGGATACAACCAGCCTGTTGGATTTTTAGCATGCAATTATTTTCAGCTACTATAGCTACTAGCACTAATTCTCCTTGCGCCCCCCCTGCCAGGAGAACACAACACTGACTGTGTTTGATGGGGAAATCAACCGATTTTTTTTTTTTTTTTTTTTTCTCTCCCTGTAACCAGTGGTACAGGAAAGAAAATCACATAATCTATGGCCTGCCTTACTGGTTTTATCACCATGAGAAAATAAAAAAGAAAAAAAAAAAACTTGTTTTGGGGTTTAATACTACAGTAAGTGAATGTAAACATGTTTAGTCTTTTTCTGAGTCTTTTATGCTTCTTTAAATATTGATATATTTTTAATATATGTAATTATTTTTTTCTGTTTTAGTGTTGATTCTGCCCAACTGCTGAAATATCATCAGCAATAATTAAGCTGTGCAACCATGTCAATTCATATGTGAGCTGTAGAGGTCAACTGTGTACTGCTGGAAGAAGCCTATTACCTGCTGACAGGTATAGATTTTGGAACCAAAAATGGCTAATACCAGCGGTGGTGGTGGTGGCGGTGGCGGCGGCGGTGGTGGTGGTGGCGGCAGCTGTAAACCTAGCTCAAACAGTTGGTGCAAATCTCAAGAAAAACTCCCAGTGCATGTAAGTATGTTTATTAAATTTTCATAGGGTCATATTTTATTGTTTTGTGTCCTTCCTCCACTTTTGTGCTGCACCGTTTTAATGTCTACTTTTAAACAGTCAAAACTGTCATCTGATACCGCTATGTCTGTCTGATTTAAAAAGACTAATAGATTGTAAAACAAACTCTGACTGAAGTCTCCCTTTTGCAAAGGGCTTTTTTTTTAGTAAAGTGAGCTTAAGAGAAATTTTTTTTAAAATCAATCTTACCTAGGTGGATGCTGTATCTGTCCCCCACTATCTCTAATAGTGAGAACTGAGTGATCAAAAGCCCTGGGCTGTGAAGGGGACAGGAGCGGCTTGCTCAGGCTCTCAGCGGCTCGATGGGAGGCTGAGCCAGGTATCGGTCCAGACTCCTGGGTGGAACCCAACCACACGATTGCAATCTTTCCCCAGCCTGGAGGGACTCAACTGACAGCGGGGTTTAGCTAGCTGTCGGCTGAGAAACAGGTCACAGGAGTGCAGAACGAACTGCACTCCTGTGATTCTTAAGATAAGTTCAGCCAAAAGAGCTTTTGCTTTACTACTGCTATAAAATAGATGTATGGGTTAAAAAAAATCTAAAAACTTTATATGCGTCATCTAGGTGGATGCAGCATTGACCTGTCCCCTCCGGATCTGCACAGAGAATTGAGCGATCAGACACAGTGACCGCTCAGTTCTCTCCCCACTCCGCTCTGAGCAGAGAGCTGGGAATGTCAGTCTCCGGCTCTCTGTTCTGCTCTTCCAGCTCTCACTGGAGAGCTGGGCTGTGGAAAGGGTAGGAGGGGCTGGCTTGGACTCCCAGCCGATCTCCGAGTGGCTGAGCTCTGTGATGTCGGCCGATAGCGGGCTTTAGCCAAAAACGGGTCACAGGAGTGCAGAATAAACTGCACTCTTGTGATCCATAGGAGAGGTATAGCTAAAGAGCTTTGGCTATACTTCTACTTCCACCTTTAAAAAAATAAATAAATGCACTTTTTTTTTTTTTGCAGGTAAAAAAATGTGCATTTATTATTTTGTTTGCAGGAGCCTGTAAACCATTACACCAGTGATCAGCAGATAGCTCGTGCCATGGAGGTCTCCGGCAGATCTGTCAGTAAATCTGCATGCTCGTACGTGATGTGGGAGCGGGGGCCAGACTGATTGTAACATGTAACATGTTATACCCTGAATATGGGTGTAACATGTTACAAAAGGTGAACTTATTCTTTAAGTGAAGAGAAGTGATACTTGACATGAATTACTGTAGTGGGAAGCTAGGTGATACAAGGGAAATTTGAAAAAATAAAGTTTATTCACATAATTTGATGTTTGGGGTAAGAGGAGGTTTACTGTACTTAACACAAGAGTAGTCTAGGCTTAGGCTCACTTCATTTTACCTCCCTTCACACTTTAATTAATCAAGCCTTACTCTGTAATGAGGGAGGTATGATCACTTAGGACATCATAGATCGGGATGTGATTAAGCACTGTTAACTTGAATCTTTAGCGCATAATTATCTACTGGAGTGGGACAATGGTTGAGAAGCAGAGAAAATATCATGGGGCCAGATTTATAATTAGGCACTGTATGCCTGTGCCTGCTAGAGGTCCTAACCTTTCCACAAATAGCAAGAAAATAAAATGTTTTTTTCCTCTGCCATTCATTAAAGGACACAATGAAGATCTGTAGATCTTGACCTAAGAATCCACGGTGGGATTCTTTTTTATCTGTAAAGCCTTTTTTTTTTTTCTTTTTCTTTCTTTAGTCATCAGCTGGCTGGGTGACAGGCTGGATCCTACAGTATTGATCCTTGTAGTCTATGCAGTCTGACCAGTAAGTGCATGCCATATCTCGCCACTGTAGGTTGGCTGCAACAGCTCTGTTCCTTACACAGATCAGACTGTGAGAATCTTCTTGAAAGGGCACATATGACTGGCTAGTCCTGGCCAACTAGTCACAGGCCAACTAGTGAACTAGTTCCTCTACAGGAAGGCTGCCCCCTGGCTCTGGACAGAGGTTTCCTTCCCCCACCCAGGAGGTCCTGGATACATTGAAGGTTTGAAGCATTTTCCAGGCGATACCTTTTAGCCCCCCAAACCCCTCTGCCCCCAAAGCAGTATGTGCTTCTGTGTACTGTTACTGTGGGGATGTGTGGTGTTTAAACTATGGGGAAGAATTCTTCCACTCAGCCATCCATATGATGCTTTAGGGTCAGTTGCCCACCTTTCTTGAGCTCCCGCCTGCTTTTCACTGTTTACACCTGTTCCAGCCCAGGTCCTTTCATAATTGATGCCAGAGCCTAAAGCTGCAGTTAACATTTTGTTATGGGTTTTCTTGCTATTAGATGCATAATTTCTTCCTACACCTGTTGGAACTACTAGCTGCATAGAAGGGGCCAATGTGTGGTCACATGCCTGATGAATGGGTCCTGCTAGACTCCAAAACGTTGCCTTGCTGTAACTATGTGATTGTTTATTAAAACCTTTGGACCCATATTGGTGATCCTCGGTGTGCTGGTGACATTCTCCCCTGCGGATTCTGTTCGGTTCCAGCCGACGGTCTCTGCAGAACCCTCTTATACACACACAGCCATTTTTAACGCAGGAACGTGTACGTTTGGATTGTACACTTCCTTTTTCTTTTGGACACGCTGCCAGCTGTACAGGCATTGCTGCTTGGACTCCCTGCAGGAACCCTTGTTGACATTTTGAAGCTTTAAGTTTCTTTCTGGGAATACCCTTCTCTGCTGGCCTTATTTTGTCCCTTGGGTGACAGCTAGACCGCAGACCTGCCTGGGAGAGTTTCTGGTTCCCTCACCACAGAACTGTTAGGAAATGGGTCTCTCTGGTTTGGTAAGGGATCCAGACTTCCCTGATAGAGTGACTGAAAGCTCCTCTTTTATGACTCCTGCGGCCTTTCCTGTCATCTTGCTCGGTGCCAGTTGCTCCAGGGCCCCAGGTACCCTCTTGTTCTTTAAGGTCTTTTACTGGTTTTAATTTCTTTGCCTGTCCATCTGTGAACACTGCTTTGGATGTGGTGAGGATCCACAGATTTTTGCTGTGTCCTTCAATGAACTGAAGAGGAAATAGGATTTTTTTTCTTGCTGTAAAATTCTTTTCTCTGGTTTATGTGGCTGTTGCTGTTTTGGAGTTTGTTCTCCTTTAACTGCTTGATATTAACTGAGGCTATGATAGCACATGGGGGTTGGCCACCAGCAGACGCCACTCCTAGGCTGTTTTCTTTTTTTTTTTTTTTTTTTTTTTTTACCTAACGTCCATCCCCTGCATGTATCACTATAACCCACTTGTCATGATCCACAGATTTGTTGTGTCTGTTAAAGAATGGAAGAGAAGAAAACTTTTTCCTTTTTTTTTTCTTGCAAAATGTGGAAAGGTTAGAACCTCCAGTAGGCATGGCACAGGCCTACATATTTTAGCTATATCTTTCAATGAAGGAAGAGAATAGCCATGTTTTTGCTATAGCTATAGGAAAAAGAAGTGTTCCGGTTGTAGTTGGACTTTATTATATTTTGCTTTTCTTAGGTCGCTTCTTAAAGTCTTGATTTTCATGATATATCTTCCCATCTTGTTCTCAGGTAGAGGATGCTTTATCCTATCTGGATCAGGTAAAAATTCGATTTGGCAGTGATCCAGCTACATACAATGGATTTCTAGAAATAATGAAGGAGTTTAAATCTCAGAGGTAAGAAAGACTGTGTTCGATGCTTTTTGTAAAACTTTTGGGATGGAACAGGTTTTTGTGGGGTTGTTTTTTTTTTTTTTTTTTTATTGTTTTGTGACTTGCAATAGTAATTCTTAAATGTAATTCATCTTTTTTTTTTTTTTTTTTTTTTTTTAAGGATGATGTGCATGTATTGTGGTATTTGCACCCTGGTCACATCAAAGCCGATTTTGAAATCGTGTGACTTACAGTGAAGTTGCACGATTTCAAAGTCGGGTGACTTGCCGATTTGAGGAGCGATTTGCAAGACGTCTGACACAGATGTCTATGCAAATTGCATCAAAAGTAGTGCATGTACTACTTTAGAAATCGGTGCGGTTCCGACCAAGTTGGATCCGCACCAATATGACTTCTCTAACAGCGGACAATAGGGTGCGACTTGGCATACGATTTGTAAGTTGCATGGCATGCAAGTCGCACCCAATGTGACCAACTTGTTAGTCTCTATCTATCTATCTATCTATCTATCTATCTATCTATCTATCTGGGTCTGAGGATACTTTCATAGTTTCACTGATTCTTAGAAGGGATCAATGTTACAAATGCTTTTTAAGCTACTTCTTTGTGTTCCCTGAATGCTTTACTTGTACAAACGAATGGTTTATGTCTGAGTCTTTCCCACATTTCCAGACATGCAGCAACCACTGATCAAAGAACACATTTTAAAATGTAAGATTGCGGGCTTGGTGGTTTCCCTTTTTGTAATGATTTTTTTCATATATTTAAATATTTTGGCATCACTGTGAGCCTACAACTGAGCTGGTAATCTGGAGTTTTATAAACATACAGATGTGCTCCTTTTATACACTTAACAGAAATGGCAACTGCTTCAATCCATAAATGGCTTTAGTAACAAGGTGCACATGGAAAGACATTGCACATAGAAAACAAAACATGTATTTGCCAGCACGTTAACCAGCTAGCCAGCAAAAAAAGACACTAACAGTTGGGCCTCATGCACACTGGAGGTTTTTGCAGCTGCGTCTAGGGATAGCAAGCTTTTTTTTTTTTCCTGCTGCTAAACTCCCCTGCACACAAACCTTTAGCAGAGTTTAGTGGCAGGAGAGTTTAGAGGCAAAAAAAAAAAAAAAAACCACTGCCAGTCCAGTGCATCTAGAGCAGCAGAGTTTGGGCAGAAAAAACACTTGATGCTTGTAAACGTATCTAAACGCTTGTTAATGCTAGGTGCGTTTAGTGCTTGAGCGTTAATTCATTTCAATGGCCAGAAAAAATTATTTATTCTTCCCAATGAAATGAATTAACACCCAAGCTCTGGACGTCTGTAAACACGCCTGAATGCTTGTAAAGGCGTTAGACACTTTTACAAGCACCAGGCAATTTTTTTCTGCAAAAATACTGCTGGCTTCTAGGAGAGTTAAGAAAAAGTCCTGTGTGCATGAGGACTGAGTGTTAAAAACAGAGGTTTTAGTTGCACAGCATTTGCAAATATATGTGTGCCCTTTTCACACGGCGTTTCATCTTTCTGTTTTTCATCCCTCTTGATGAATGAGAAATGGACAGCAATGCATTCCTATGGGCAAATGGATGCAAATAGATGTCATCTGTTTACATCAGTTTTTCGTCCGCTTCCATTCAGATCCATTTTTAATAGAACAAAGTTTTCATTTTTGATCCCTTTAAAAAACAGAAGCGGACGAAAAATGGATGTAAACAGAAGCAAAAAGCATATTGAAGGCAATTTATTAAGAATGGAGCAGCTGTGCATTGCATCCAGTAGGCTTCTAGCTTTATTTTTCAAAATGTTAACTGATCAAGCTGAAGTTAGCAGTAGATCAATCACTATGCACAGCTGCTCTGGATTTTGTGTGCTCCACTTTTAATAAATTCCCCCTATTGATTTCCTTGCACTTTTTTTTTTGCTCTCATGTGTCCTATAGGGGAGGTTCCTTTTTTTTTGTAGACACTACAAGAAGTGAGGGGGAATCTGACTAAAGGAAATTTTCTGTAGTTGCAACACTAACATGTACCTCATTTGCAGATTCCTCATCCATTCTCGTTAAAACTCAGAATGTTTGGTTAGGATTTTCCATAACATACTGTCTCTGATACAGTGCTCTCCAGGGCAGATAAAGTGGGTTAATCTTCCAAGTGAGGACACAGACTGCAATATAAACCTGACAGGTGTTCTAACCCTTCCATATGCTATCTAAAACAAAAAATAATCATTTTGATATTAGATACAGTTTAGGTTACTCTATCCAGTCTATTTCTAAAATCCTACAGCAGTGATTTGAATAGAAAAAATAGAGTGTTCAGCAGGTATGGTTCAGTTAGAGTCCAACACTATGGTATTATAGTTTGGATCTTACCTCCATTTTCTCTGTGTTTTAGAGAAATAAATAACAAATTTGGCAAATATGCATTATAACACCTTACTTTCTTGCAGCATTGACACTCCAGGGGTCATCCGCCGTGTTTCCCAGCTATTCCATGACCATCCAGATTTAATGCTGGGCTTTAATGCTTTTTTACCGCTTGGCTATAAAATTGAGCTTCCAAAAAATGGTAAAGTGGTGGTACAGACATCACTGGCCAGTCCGGTTAGTGCCCTTTACATTTTTTTCTCCTTTTAAGTATGTATGTATGTATGTATGTGACGCATAGTTAGGTGAATCACTTGTGTTATTTCTTTCCAGGTTCCTTCTGATGCAGCCACAAGCATTTTGCCAAATACTCGTGTTGCAGTTCCTCCTGTGCCTGAAAACTCACACAGTGAGGTGGTGGAAGAGCCACGGCTTCAGGATAAAGAGAAAACACAGGCTCCTCCTGAGTCTGACTCGTTAGAGTTTCATAATGCTATCAGTTATGTCAATAAAATTAAAACTCGATTCCTGGACCGGCCTGAGATCTACAGATCTTTCTTAGAAATCCTTCACACTTATCAGGTAAATCAGTTGTGTAAGCATAATTTTGATTTTTGCTTTTCTTTAGGTGTCCTTATAAGAAATATCACCTTGAATGCTTTGATTAATGTTCTTGAAACAACATAGGGTAACTGCAGAGGGAATTCTAGATTTACTCAAGCTTAATTTACACAAATGTAAAATGACCCTTTTTTACAGAGCAGAAATTTCTTCTTTCATTTCATAACCATACCTTCAGGCCATTTGGGCTCTCCTGGAAATCTAGCTGAAAAACTCTCAGTTAGCACTCCCCATGTTCTGTCTTGTTACTAGGACACAAAAAATCATTGTCTTCCAGGACAGCATATGAGAGATGGCTCTACCCACCTGCAAACAGGAAACTCATCTACCATTGTAAAAAAAATACAGTTCACCCTTGTGTCTCAGTTATTTGTGTTTCCTCTAGCTGCACAGGAGCATCATCAGTTTGTTAGTTTAAGCCGTCAAGCAGTTGCAGGGGCCTTCTAACATATGTTCCCCTATGATTCCAGGGATGATCGACTTGGAGAGGTTTCATATCTGTTTTTTTTCTCTAGACTACTTTGGTTCGTATATTAGTTGTAAGATCTTCCCCCTCCTGATCACTTTCTTGGTGTTCTGCAAGATTCCTTCTCCGCCAGAGGAGGAGCATCTATCCCCATTGGTGCAGAGGCTCTAATGGAGCCCTCCCTTGCACACATTTGGTCAGGCTCTGAGTCGTCCTTGTGTTGCCTTGGGTGAAATATAGCCTGCTATGCCATAGGTCCCTCTGAACAAACTGCAATATGGTGGTTGTGCCAGCATCCACAGACACCAGGGTGGGAGCACAAGCAGGTGGGGGACAGAGCAGTAGACAGACCTTGCTCTTTCCATGAGTATTTCAGCAAATTTAATCCTGTCAGCAATGCTACACCATACAGTCTGCTAGATTCGTATCAAAGATAGGCTGGCTGAATTTTCTCTTTTTTTTTCTTTTCTATAGCTCTCCTTCCTTATTATACTTACAGTGTGGGGAGACACATTATGGAGTACTCTTGGAAGGATGTCCTCTCTGTGGGTGGTGGTTGCTATTGGTGTTTGTGAATGTGCTTTGTGTTTATGTCCACCATTGGTGTGGAAAGTTGGATCCAGGGGCTGTAGCCCTCATACCTCTTAAGCTGCTGAGCAGAGTGCCAGCAGCTCAGAGGTAAGCAGAAACTCCAACCTGTTAAAGTGGAAGTCAATTTTTGCATCTTTTAAACGCTTACCTGTAGGTACTGTGATTATTAAAGGCTTACCTGTAGGTACTGTTAAATATGTCCTAAACGTGTACCACTTAGTAGATATATACTGTAGAAGTGCTGGTGATGTCATTAGCGCACTGCACTCTCAGTGGACAGCGTGCCATCCATTGACAGAGCCATGCTGCGGCCAAAACTCCCTTCACGCGTGGCAACATTGTGGCTGCAGATCGTGAACCCGGAAGGAAGACTGGGTGAAGATGGAAGACTCTGGGAGCCGTGACAGTGCTCCATTGGGGAGCATTGTTTTCAGGTAAGCCTTTCATAATGTGCTAGTATGTGATGCATATTAGCACATTATGCTCTTAAATAAGTTCACCTTTTTAGTAAAAAAATAATAAATGCACGTTTTTTTTGCAGGTAAAAAAATGTGCATTTATTATTTTTGTCTGCAGGAGCCTGTAAAGCATTGCACCAGCCATCAGCAAATCGCTGGTGCCATTCAGGTCTCCTGCAGATGTGTCAGAATATCTACTTGCACCTACGGGATGTACGAACAAGCAGATATACTGACAGGAAGAATCACAGCGCCATGGTAGTTTATTGAGGACTACAAGCTGACAGCTGCTAAGGCTGCTGGGACTTGTAGGCTCTCATTCACAGAGGACTGTGAATGAGTGACACAGCCGGGCAGGCGGAGCCCCGCACAGCCACTTTTTTTTTTTTAAATGTGACAGGGAGGGAGAGAAGATCCCCGCTAGTTGTTAATGCAGGAAACGGGAGAACGGGGGGCGGTCAGATCTTAACATGTTACATCCTGAATATGGGTGTAACATGTTACCAAAGGTGAAGTTATCCTTTAACTTGCAGGGAGAAGACATCTTAGATTTTTTTTTTTTTCCGTGGTTTACTACCGCTTTAACTCCTCCCTACACTTAGGCTAGATTCACATATATGTGGGTCGGGGAACATGTGCTAATCGCACATGTTCCCTGACCTGCAGGAAAATCATGCTGCTCTTTGGCAGACGTGGGATGCCATGAATTCCTAATAGTACCCTCACGCATCGGAAAACCCGGTGCGGTTTCAGGTGTGCAAAACTGCATGGTGCCACAGCACCATGTGACTATGTGCTGCTGGGGATTAATCAGCACTTTCTGTGCTTGGTTTCGGGCAATAGCACACCCCTAGGCTGAACTGGAAACATAAATTGTGGATCCTGCAACATTTAGGGCCAGTTCACACTACATGCATTTCAGTTGCTTTTTTTCTGCATCCAAAACGCACAGAAAGTAGGTTATATGGTTGTAAATGTCATAGTTCACATCCGTGCTTGCAGTTCCAGCAATTTCCAGTTGCGTAAAAAACAAGTAGAACGGGCTGCACAAAACTGTACTGGAACACGGTAAAAGGTATCAAAAATGCATCGGAATGCACATATCCTTTTTTAAATTGAAGAAAGAGGGGGGGGGGGGGGGGGGGGGAAACCAGAATGCCTCAAAAACACACCGGAACATGTCAAAAATGTGCATTCAGAAATGCATCTGGACTGCATTTCTATAGTGTTAACCGGCCCTTAGGCTGGGTTCACACCTATGCAGTTTGCGTTTGATCTGTTTCTTCATTGCTTTTTGTGGTGCGCCTTGCATTTTTGCACATGCATTTTTGATGCGTTTTGCAGGGGTTTTTTTTCCAACTTGTTGCTGGGCAGATTAAAATGCAAAATGCCTCAAAAGCGCACTACATGCATTTCTGCAGCGTCTCAATTGAAGTCTATTGAACCAAAAACTCAACGTTTGTGTTTAAAAAAGTCCCTGACCTTTAAAAAAAAAAAAAAAAAGTGGAGATGTGAACCTGTCCCTTAGGAAATCATGTTAAATGGACTGCTGTGCGGGGAGCCTAAACATGGCGGCGTCGGAGAGCACGATGTGAGTGCTCTCCGACAATCCCCGATCTGACCACCCTGAGAACCCTCAGGACTTTACTTGCGGTGCCCTACCTGAATGGGGTCTCCTGGAGGTGGGAATCCGGCGCGGTGAAGGAGGAGGATGAGCAGGAGCGGGCACGGAGCTCCGAGAAGGGATCACGCTGCAGAGACCCGAGATCAGCTGTCGGGTTGCCGGGGAAACCGAGCAGTGCGGCGGGAGCACGCTGGTGGCCGCAAAGGAGCTCTGGTAGCTGAGACGCCGGCCGGTTCCCTGACAGGAGAGGGGAGAGGCTGGAAGAGTTCCTAAACCTGCTGTACAGAAGAGGACACATAGCTGCAAGCAACAGGAGACCCTGCAGGAATCCCCCAGAGACACAATCCAGGAGAAACAAAGGGACGGCTATGGATCTGGGTCGCCTCATTTGATGAGCAAGTGAAGGAGGGTGAGTGAAGAACCCATGTGTAATTATATATGTGTCCTGGACTGTGGGAAATGAGCTGCCTATAAAAGAGTGAAGGGGGATTCCCAGGGAGTTTTGGAAAGTGAAAAGAAAATAAAAGAAAGAAGAGAGAAAGAGAAATTGCTAAGTGATATTAGAGAGATCTGACCAAAATTAACCTCCTCGGCGGTATGATTCTTTCCGATTTTTTGTGCTGAAAGCGGGTACCATTTTTTTGCATGGAAATATGTAGTTTTTTATTGTAGGCTGTAATTTTTAGGAATAACTCACTGAAATCTGTCCGAACAAGAGTCTATTAAACATCCCGGGTATGATAAAACTTGAAACACGAAATCATAAATTATAATTTAATAAATAATCATAAAAAATAATAATATAATAATAAATTTATTTCAATAATATAATCAAACCAAAAACACTGAAATTTGAAATACAGAGGCAAATTCGCACATTGCTGAGCAAAGTCGCAAAATCGTTTTCAGTGTCTGATGACGAATTTCCCCACGAATCATTATCACTCAATTCTGCAAATGGTTCTCATTTATTATCGCTGTTCTAAAACCGCTTTTGGCGTAAAGGGAACGCTTTTTGGACGCCATGGACTTTTCTAAGTTTCCAGGCAGAAAAAACATTCAAAATGCAGGCAGGGCGCAGGACAAAGCAGTAGGACAAAATATATCTGAAATGCATTGAAACAGCAATGACAGCAAAAATGACATTTTTAAAAAATTTCAAATTTACCGCCTGTTTCCGGCGCCCGTACGTCCCGACGTCACAGGGACCGGAACACAGAAGCCGGATGCCGGCATCGGCCGGAGGAGATGGCCGGGGACGCTGCAGGGGACACATCGCGGAGCGAAGGACAAGGTAAGTGCTGCAGAGACCCCCTGAGCAACGCCGCATGGTAAGCCCGAGTGTAGCTCGGGGGTTACCGCTTTTGGTATAGAAATTTTTAAACCCCGAGCTACACTCGGGAATACCGCTAAGGAGGGTTAATGCCCCAATATACAGTCTCAAAGTCTCCCTCTGGTTAAAGAGTACAGCTTGTACAGGAAGTATGAAGAATAAAAGCGTTAAAGGAAGTGGGCTTAAAGGTCCCAGACGGAGATACTAATTAAAAAATATACCTCCCAGGGGAATGTGACTCCAGAAAGGGCCCATAGTGGCAATGGAAAAAGGGAAATGGAAACCAGGTTGGGAAAATGGCCCCAGATTGTCACAGGCCTGAATTGTAGCAGCCGACAGTCGATAGAAAACCCAGAGAGGAAAGATCTTGAAAAGGATTTACAAGTGCCGAATAAAAGAGAGATGGCCAAAATGTTTAAAAAAACTTGGAAAAAACTTTTAAGCAAGAAATGACAAATATTCGACCGGATTTAGGGCACCTGCTAAAGA